GAGAGAAAAGCACAAAATATTTTTTAAACTTAGAAAAAAGGAACCACGTTAAGAAGCATATAAGAAAACTGTGCATAAATGGTAAAATTACAACGGATCCGCACTGTATACTAAAAGAACAAGAGCGTTTTTACAGAGAATTGTACAAAAGCAGCATTAAGAGTCCCAATACAGGAGAGAAAATATCTTCATTTTTGAACGATCTGAATATTCCCCAACTTTCAGAGGAGGAAAAAAATTCCTGTGAAGGATTAATTTTTCCAGAAGAATGTTCTGAACTCTTGGATAGCTTTCAGAGTAATAAATCCCCTGTAAATGATGGCATTCCAGCTGAATTCTATAGAAAATTTTGGCCTTTAATAAGCGAAAGTTTTATCAGGTGTGCAAATGAATGCTTCGAAAAAGGGGAAATGTCATGCTCACAAAAACAGGCTGTAATCACTCTGCTTGAGAAAAGCGGAAAAGATCGCACTCTCCTCGAAAACTGGCGGCCAATATCTCTTGTTAATGTAGATACCAAAATTATGTCCAAGGTGATTGCAGCAAGGGTTAAAAAGGTGTTACCCAGTATCATTCACTACAACCAGACTGGTTATGTTAAAGATCGTTTCATTGGTGAAGCAGTACGTTCTATTTTCGATATTATGGACTTCACAGCTAAGGAAAACATCCCAGGTTTACTACTGTTTATAGATTTTCAAAAAGCTTTTGATAGTGTGGAATGGGAATTTCTCATTGAGAGTCTTAAAAAGTTTAACTTTGGTCGAGATTTCCTTCAATGGGTGAAAACCTTTTATAACAGCATTCAAAGCTGTGTTATAAACAATGGCGTTAGTTCTAACTTTTTTACTCTGGAACGCGGTGTTAGGCAGGGTGATCCACTCTCTCCTTACTTATTTATAATTGCTGTAGAAACTTTAGCAATTGCTATAAGGCAAAAAGAGTCAATTCAAGGAATCACAACAGGAACTGAGGAAACTAAGCTTCTACAGTTTGCAGACGATACAACCGCTGTGTTAGCTGACACAAGCTCGGCCACAAGATTATTTGAACTACTTAACAAATTCGAAATTCTCTCTGGACTCAAGATTAACTGTTCAAAAACTGAAGGTATGTGGATTGGATCTAAGAGACATTATAAAGAAAAACCATTCGGTATTAAATGGCCGGACAAGCCAATAAAAGCTCTAGGTGTATATTTTACTTATGACCAAAAATTGCTTAAAGAAAAGAATTTTATAGAACGACTGGATTCAATTAAAAAACTTATTAATATATGGTCCGCTAGAGGCCTGTCGATATACGGTAAGGTGACAATAATCAAATCTTTTCTTATCCCTAAGTACATTTACATTTGTTCGATCCTTCCAACTCCCAAGGAATTACTAAAAGAATTGAATAAAATACTGTTTAAATTTCTCTGGAAAGGTGTAGATAAGGTAACAAGAGCTTCAGTTATTAACGAATACGAAGAGGGAGGGCTAAGAATGGTTGATCTCGAGTGCATGGTTAAGTCATTGAGATTAGCTTGGTTAAAACGTATCTTCAGTGGGACTAATGGAACTTGGAAAAGCTACCTACAACACATACTGAGCTCCGTTGGGGGATTGTTCTTTTTTAACTGCAACTACAATATCTCGGATTACACAATTCCTTCTCAATTTTATCAGGAACTTTTGTTATGGTGGCCGTGATTTCGTGAAACGTTTGCCACTGACGAAGATTGGAAAACGATAATCTGGAATAACAAAGAAATAAAAGTAGAAAACAAGCCGGTTTATTATAAACATTATGTTAATGCGAGTGTCATTTGCATTCAGGATCTTTTATTTAGTCTGAACAGTACTGATTCTTATAATCAACTGTCCAAAAAGATATCCAAAACAAATATTTTAGAATGGGCTGGCTTACGCAGGTCCATTCCATTATCGTTAAGAAGTTATGACAGGTATCCTTCCATAAACTCACCAGCATTTGTGGTGGGTGACAATAATTTTGATGTTACGAAAGGGAAATCAAAGGATTACTACAACCTACTCATCAGAGAAAAAGCTAAACCGCCCAATATTATTCCAAAATTACAGAGTAACTTTAATTTTAACAGCGACAATCTGAAGCAAATATTTAAGCTGCCACACTCTATCGTTGTCGAATCGTATGTTAAAGCCTTGTAGTACAAATTAATTAACTCAATTCTTTACACAAATACAAAGTTGTATAAAATAGGTTATAGGACAAATGATTTATGTACTTTCTGTGACAATCAACCTGAATCATTAACGCATTTGTTCTATCACTGCTCACGCTCTAAACAGTTTTGGATTGAATTTGAACTATATTGGTGCCTTATTTCGAATCAACGAATTCGTCTCTGCTTGGAAAATGTGCTCTTTGGAATTTTGACGGAAAATGCTTGCCCTTTACTTCAATTGCTGAACTATTTTATAATTATTGGAAAACTCTATTTGTGGGACTGCAGGAGCAAACAAATCCTTCCAAACATTTATGGATTTAGAGCCAAGATCATCGCTAAATATGAAACAGAAGAAAAAGTCAGCAACAAAGAATTCTTTAAAAGAAAGTGGATACTGACGCCTTATTTAAGTTAACTGTATTGACTCCGTATTATTTCATTGCCCTGTTGTACTTTTTTTACAATTTCTTTTAGCCCTGTAACACCTCCTGTAATAATTTGACAATTTTTTTTGCTTTACTCTGTTAATGTCTCTTGTTAAAGTTTTTTTTGTGTGTGTGTGTGTTTTGTAAATGTAATTATTTAATGTGATTATCAATAAACATATTTTTAAAAAAAATGATTGTACAAAAATCAAAATTGGGTGCAATTCTTTATGTGAAATTGGATTGAATACTCAATATGCTACCATAAACTATTATAATGTTCATATAAATCTATACTCGCTCCAGTTGCCGATTTTTGAGTTGCCTATTTTTCAATAAAATTGATGATGATGCCTCTTTATTCTTTTTTGCTAAATCTTTCAGCTTCCTTAAACACTGATGGTCATTCAGCACTTGCTGCATTGCTGGGTCTTCCCATTTCCTAGAAAGATCATTTATTTTATCTTCAGAAGACTGCAGTTTGTTCTTAAGCTCCTCTTAAGTTTATCTTGTTGTAAGTCATTACATTTGTTGTAATATTGATTTTTGCCTAATTCAGCAAGTTCTAGTAGATCTTTTTGCGTTCTCTTTTACGAAATCTTTCTCCATCCTTGACCATTATCCTTTTTCCAACTCTAGCTGCTGTTTAAAATTTCTTGAAAGTTTCCTTTCAGAACGCTGCAATTTGTTCTTAAGCTCCACTGTTTCTTGTTTCAAATCATTACACTTCTTTGAGTAACGGCTTTTTTCACCTTCAGCACGCTCTAGTCGAGACGTTGCATCCGCGAGTGCATTTTCCATCTCTCTTTGTTCTCTTCTGAAATGTTTCTCCTTCTTTGACCATTGGCCTCTTTCCCTCTTAAGTTGCTGTTCTGCGTCATAACATTTACTTGAACGTTTTTTGTCTTCCTCTTTAGACTGCTGAAATTTGATCTTAAGCTTTCGTAATTGGTCCTCCAACTTCTCACACTTAGTAGAACATTGTTCCTTGTCACGTTCAGCACCCTTTTTTTTAACATTCATATCTAAGAGTGTGGTTTCTAACTCTTTATTCTTCTTTTCCAAATCGTTCACCTTCTTTAAACATTCACGTTCATTCAGCTTTTTCTGCCTGTCTAAGTCTTCAAATTTCTTTACAAGATCCTTCCTTTCATCTTCAGAAGACTGCAATTTTTTCTCAAGATCCTCTCTTTGTTGTCTCAAGTCATTACACTTGTTTAAATGTTGACTATTGTCATTTTCAGCAATTTTAAGTTGATTGTTCGCATCCTCGAGTGATTTTTCTAACTCTTTTTTGTCTTCTACGGAATCTTCCCTTTTCCTTGACAATTGTGATTTTTCCCACTCTAGCTGCTCTACAAAGCGTCTTGAAATTTCCTTCTTTTCATCTTCAGAACGCTGCAATTCGCTCTTAAGCTCCGTAATCTGTTTTTCCAAATCATTGTACTTCTCGGAGTAGTTAGTTTTGGCAAGTAATAGTCCACTATTCGCATTCCGGAGTGCAGTTTCTAACACCTCTTTCTCTTTTTCGAAATCTTCCTCCTTCCTTGACCACTTTCCTTTTTTCCGCTCTAGCTGCTGTTCAAAAAACAGCAGCTGCTTATTCTTTTCATCTTCAAAACACTGCAATTTGTTTGTAAGCTCCTCTATCTGTTGTTGCAAATCATTACGCTCCTTGAAGTACTGACTTTTGTCACTTTCAGTACGTTCTTGTGTATTTTTCGCTTCCTCGAGTGCTTTTCTTAACTCTCTTCTCTCTTTTAAGAAATCGTGCTCTTTCTTTGACCATTGAACTCTT